TTGTGAGAGCAGAATGTCCTGCCAGGGTCAATGTACTGCAGCCATCCCACAGCTGAGCAACTGACATCATTGGTAAAAATGCGATTGGCCTAATTACAACTCCCCATGGACACGATCTCGTAGCCTTCGAATGGATCTGAGCACCGTGAACTTCCTGCCCCTGGCCCAGATTCACTCGGGGGTTTTGGGGGACTCGTTAACCTTCCTGCCCCAGTTTCCCCCGTCTGCAGAATAGGGCTGTATTCCCTCTCCTCCCTCACAGTGATGGCCAGAGAGGGCTTGTTAGCAGCCTGTAAAGCTCTTGGGAGATGAAGATCACTCAGTGCGCTAAGTGCTGTTAGCACTCCAATGATCAAGGGTGGCTCCCTCGGGCACATGAAAACCACAGTCAGACTCACCCTCGCTGGGCATTTACCTGTGCTGAGGAAGCTGCCAAAACGTTACTGAGAAGGCAGCACTAATCAGATGCAACCTTCCTCTCTGTGGAACTACGGCAGGAAACGTTGTTTCACCAACACTTGGTTGCAGTGAGTTTGTGGAGAGAGTTATTGAGAGCATTTCCCCTCCAGCTCAAGGACACTGGCTATATATGGTTTGCTGTATGCGGCAAACCCTCTCTTGATGCCTTCATCAATATACTGACTGACTGCCCTGGCGTCTCAGATAATCCATGTTATCATCACGTGCTGTCGCTTTTGAAACACGACGATGACCCTTTCCAGCTACTAGAGAGCAGCAGCATGCCTGGGTGTTTGTGTCCCTTGGGGGATTTTTTTTTAAATATCATTAAATTATATGTGAATCTTTAGTATGTTTAATCCTCAGCAAGAGACCATCTGTGAAGAGACGGAAGTAGGTCACTCTGGAGGGCCAGGCGCTGTGTCCCCGGAAAGCCAAGGAGCCCGGCATTTGTTCCATGGAGATGAATTGCATCAGTGACTCTACAATGAGAGATGCCACAATCCATCACTGTGACATCGGAACAGTGTACAGAGGTACCCACCTTAAGCAGCCCCTGCAGACTACCCTCCCACCACCAAAATAAATCGTTGGCTACTGGATGTAGAGCTGGATTTCCCCTAAGGAGGACAGGAGGGGATTCAGCTGAGGGAAGCTAGGTGGGTTCTGCTGCTGCCTACCCTCCCTTGAGGTTGCCACGGGCAAGGAACGGCATTAAGTTGGGGCCAGGCTCCACGGGAGCTCTTCTGGCAGACGCTGCTCAGAGAGATGAACTGAATTAGTGCAGTACCTAGGCATCCTGGCCACACCCCACTCCCCGCCCAGCACTGTACACTTTTGGGGCTGGCCCCATGCAGGTCCCTGGCAGAGGAGTAGTTGCAAGGACTTTCCACCACGGTAAACACCTCTCGGGCTGCCACAGGCCTCTGTTAGGGTCTACACTGGCCTGGAGAGAATCTGGGCCACGATTCTCCATCTATAATCAAGTGTCAAGCTAAAAGACCCCATGTGGAGATGCAGAGCTATTCTGCTGACTCACCCTGGCAGCAAAAGCAACTGGGTCTCATTTGCACAGGAACACAAAAGGCTGGGAGCATCTCTGAAGTAAGACAGCTAGAAGAAAGAGCAGGGAGTCCTGAAGGGAGAAATTCTAATCTTCCCATTCAGGAAGGATCTCATAGGGTGAAGTCTAAGTATGGTCCTGCCTTAAGACTTTGTTACTTTATCTAAAAATAAAGGCAAATTCCAGAAAGGTTAAGATGTGGGAGAGGAGAGCATCAAGGCCACCTGATTGTATGGCTGAATTAAATTATACTGGGAATTTTAGAGATGCTTTTAAGTGGTTGCTTGAGACAGAATGTTATCTGCTTGAGGTCAGCTATGGAAGAGATTTTGGTGTAGGCTGGATCCTGGGGTTAGAGCAGTTAGACGTGTCAGTTATACATGCATCCTGGATGCTGTACCTCCAAGGTCCTAGCTAAACACCTAATACTCAGAGAACAAAATCCCTTTCCTTTTACCATAACTCATGTTAGAGTGTCGATCGTAGCCAACCCATGTTTGGGAATTTAAAGGCAGCCATGTATTATACAATCTACAACAAGGGTGTTGCAGTGAGATAAATGCAGTTAGACCGAGTCCTAGCAGTGTTGCCAGAGTCCTTCAGTGAAGTTATTTCCTCGTAACTTGGTGCAGTTCACCCATTCAGCTGTGCACCCTCTCCACCCCTGGTTCCCGCTCCCCCAGCTCTGCATTGCTGGAACAAGGCTCCTCTCACACGTACAGGTCACTGGTGATATTTACTTTCTTCAGTGCATTTCTGAATTCTCAACACTAAACTAAATGTGTTAGTAAGAATGCCGACACTGGCTTGATTTAAATTCTTACAGCGAAGTTTCAGATCTGTGGAGCTCTCTGCAGAACACCCGGCTTGTCATTAGTTTCCTTTGATCCGATCTCTTTTGCTTACCTGTTGTATTCGGAGGGGTATCCAGGATTGTCTTCAAAAGCTTCATGTCCTTAATGTTATGAATATAAATCGACTCCTCCAGGCAAACAATCAGCCTCTGCAACAACACAGTTGACAGGTACACAACCACAACTTGTTAACCCTCCCCCTACACACACCAAACATGTCAGCAGGTGCCAGTTACATTTGTCTTTCACAGCGGAGTTCACACTTTCACTCAGGCCCTTGCCATCAGAGAGAGTTACCAGGCATCTCTGAACTCCAAAATGGATCAGAGAGGCGAAGATCTTCCTCTCAAATCCCTTGCAATTGAGAAGCCCTCGGTTTTGCACCACATGACTGCAAAGAACAGCCTGCATTTGGAACCAAGATTAGACCCCCAATCTTTTTTGCCTTGATTTTATGAGAGAGCGGATTTTAAAGAGCACTTGCAAATGTACAGTGCTGTGCGAATGCTGGGGATTATCTGGGTGCAGCCTTAACCATGGGCATGAGGATGGTTTCATAATACCACACAGAGTTTCATTCCTTCCCCACCCCAACCAGGCTTTTCCTTTTAACATTTCTCTCTTTGTGGCTTCTTTAGTAGCAGGACACTTTACGATCATAAAAATTGGAGGGGGAAGAGGCTGTTAGATCCCTTCTAGTCTATTTCCTCCACAGCGTGGCATTGCTCCCTACAATACACTCACTCTAACTTTGTCCAATCTAGTTGAAAACATTCAAGGGATGAGGCTCCCACCGCTTCCAAAAGAAGCGCCTGCCACTCATGGGTGCCTTTTAACTTGGAATCAGGGAGCAGGAATCCATCTTCTGCTCCCCGCTCCATGGCTGTCTATGGCATAGCCAACTGCATTCAAGTTCCGACTAGGGGACACGCATTACAGAGTGGCTGATTTGCTCAGGTGGAACACTTTATCTTGGCAGTAGGATAGAGTAGGATAGCTAATGTGATCTGCACCATCTCCATCTGATGGTGCTGTTCTTCCACTCACCCACCTGGCCTGAAAACACTTCCAATACGGATTGCCAGGAATACATGAATTCCTCAAAGCTGTGTCTACTGCTGTCATGATGTTAACATTAGGGCCCTGATCACTCAGCACCGTGCCTCAAAACAGTGGCACTGTAGTCAGACATTTGTCCCCAATGTATTCTGCACTGATGAGTAACAGAGAGGGAGCTCTAGGCAGCTGAGGGCCTATTTTCAGAAGAACTGAGCACCTGCAGCTCCCCCCAGCATCAACAGAAATGGCAGGTACTCAGCCTCTCTGAAAATCTGGCACTAAAAGGCGAGGCCAGAATCCTTGGGTATCTGCAACTACAGGTGCTTCCATCGCTTTGGCCATCAGGTCACTTATTTAAGGTCTACATATGGATCTTAGTGACTCACTTTAGACACCCATGTTTGAAAACTTTGGCCTCGGTGTGTAACTACAGGCTCAACCAACGCTACTTGAAATCAAAGCCTTCTTATAAGAGAAGCTTCTATTTTTGTTAACCACAGCAGCCAATGCTTTGTTTCCCTAAACCATTTAGGATTTCCAGGGAGGTTTACATTTAGCATAATTTCAGTGGCACTTTCCAAAAGAACAGCCCTCAACTTTATAACGGAGACTTGAAAATAAAATGTGTTAAGTGTACGGTATGCAAAGGCGTCTCAAGGCTTCACAGAGTTCTACAATACAATGCTGTTGAGATACAGGTAGAGAGAAGCAGAGGGAGAGACGTGTGTGTGGTGGGGAGAATGAAAATAGGTTTTCAGATGCGAGATGGAGTGTCCGAGGGGCAGGTGACAGGAGCTGTGGACGAGAAATTTCCTGCACCCAGAGGAACAAGATCCTAGGAAGGCAGACACCAGGTGAGCGGCGGGAGCAGGGAGGGAGGCCTGAACAAGTCCATGGAGAGTTTCAGACAAAAGGCCTAATTCTTCATTGCCCTGCCCCTTGAGCAGACAACACTAGCACCAAATGCAACCGGATGAGACTGGGCACGTTTGCCTTTCACTTTGCACTGGTGTAAAGCACTGCACAAGGGGCAGGTAATGGAGAGTTGGGCCCAAGGAGGGCAGGTTTGAGCGGCTGAAATGGATGAGGAGATAGTGGAGGCATTTGCACTTTTTGCTCAGATGCTGGGGGATGGTGCCTTAGAACTGTGTGTAGTAATTCCTGGGGTGAGGGAAGCGGAACCATCATCAATACAACCTACATTATGTAGAATGCATCACTTCTGTTGCTTACTGCTCCATTGCACTTTCCTCTACGCTTTCATTTAGATACCAACAAACAGACTAGTTATCTTGACCTGCACACGGAGAAGGAACGAGTGTCCTTCTGTTAAGTACATCAAAAGGATTCGGCAGCAGGACTGCAGCCAAGAAGAGATCCAAGGAAAACACAGGGAATTTTCATTAAAATACAAACACTGCTTCTCGCTAGTCAAAAGCACAAACCCCTGCTCCAGCAATAAAAAAATACTTGTTTTTCACCATGTGCAAGTAATAACAGGGCTGGAAATAAAGTGTTTCCATGAATCAACAGCAATTGAGAGTCTAATTCAAATGAATTCTTTGGTTTGAATAACAAAGATTTTCCACTAAGAGATCAAATCAAAAGACAAAACTGTTTGCCCAAAGAGATCTGTTCTTATTTAAACTTCCATGGCTGACAGTGATTCTCTGACTTGGATGGGTTTTACACTATGATGGACTTTCTCCAGTGCAGTATGGTTTCCATACTCAGGTCCAAGACAAGGGTTTTCAGAGTAACACAGTGAATGCATAACATGATCTCCAGCAGATTAACTCGCAAGAGGGGCTAGATTAGTCAGAGTTAGATTAGTCAGAGTTACACCACAGATAAATTTGGCCCAGGTTGTACTGATTTCATGCTGCAGTGCATGGAAATAAAATGCATTCATACTGAGGGAGCTGGACCACCTTGTCTCCAATATTTAGAGACATTTTTGTTCACGATCTCTCAGATATTTGGGTAAGCCAGCGATTCTGTCATAACAGATATTTGGGTAAGCCTGCCCCTGCAAACACTCTAGATGAATCTGCTTCACACATTTTTAGGAGACAAGGTGGGGGAGGTAATATCTTTCATTGGACCAACTTCTCTTGGTGAGAGAGACAAGCTTTCAAAGACAAGCTCTTTGAAGAGCTCTGTGCAAGCTCGAAAGTTTGTCTCTTTCACCAACAGAAGTTGGTCCAATAGCAAATACCACCTCACCACCTTGTCTCCCTAATATCTGGAACCAGCATGGCTACAACACTGTATACACATTTTAATGACAGCTGATGTGAAATAAACGGTTATGCCCAATGGCAAACATGAGAGGGTGTGCGTTATCATTCCCTAGGTATGGAAGAGCTCTCATCCCATGTGACAAGTACCCTCCCATGCCTTCAAAACTCCCTCTTGCTTATTTCTCCTGCACTGACCTGGTACGGTCTGTTCTCCAGTGCTGGGTCATAACCATTTTGTATTGCACCCACCTGGGCTAGAGCATTAGCTTCTCAGGACAGTGACCTTACCACTAGAATAATGCAGCTCTTCCCTCAGATTCGTGTTTGACATTTACACCATCTATCTATGGTGTCTGAGCACCTCAGTCTTTAATGTATTTAACCTCATAACCCCCCTGGGAGACAGGACAGTGCGATTACGCTCAATTTATAGCTCGGGGACTAAGGCACAGGAAGACCAAGTGACTTGCCCAAGGTCACAAGCAATGAACCTGGGTCTGCCAAGTCCCAAGCTAGTGCCCTAACCACTGTACCACCCTTCCTTTCCATGGCATCCTTCTGTTCCATGAGACTGCACAGGGGAGTGAGCGCCACCAAAATGAACATCGAGCTCCTAGAACTACACTGACATTTGCAATACATAAATCAGAACTCCAACGGAAGTGATGATTTTACCAGCTACTCTTACCTGCCATAATACATTTCAGTGAAGAAATTAATTTAGTTCAAGTTAATTACAGTATAGCACAAGCTACAGGGATCAAACAAAACTTTACTGGAAACTCAAGACAGGGCTTGCCTGTTGGAGATGCTTACGGCAGATTTCACTATTGCTAACCTAGAAACAGTTGATTATATACAATTATACAGTCTGTTTATTTTTGTATTGTAATATTCTCCACTCTTTATAACCTATCATGTATTTGAGAAGAGATTATGGAAAAAAGAAGACTTTAAATCCTAAAAAATAACAACAGAGAGCCGCTAGGATACAGGATAAGTGCAGTGGACATTCAAAGCTTTCCTCAGCATGACTCAGGAAACACAGGGAGGCTATGGGCTGCTAATGAATGCTATTTGAGACATTAGCCTTCAGGTGAAGCCCCATAGATCAAATTACACTCAGGGTTGTGTTATTAACTTTGACTACGTTATCTGTGACAAAGATGCCACTGTAGGTCAGAAGCCAGAGCACGGCATTCAGGGAGAAGATGTGGTAGAAAAAGAGTTTACATGCCTTTGGAGCATGCGATTTTGTTTAATCAGAACAGCTTCGTATAACTGTTTACTGCTAATTTATCATCTTCCAATTCAAAGCTCACCAGCAACCTTTGGCCATGACCTAGCATCCCATCCCACATGGCGTTATTGTAAGGAAATGTGGGAAGGAACGTATTTAAAACATACATTTCACTAAGGGACATGCCTGAGCCATATTCAGAGGGGATGCAAGTTATGTGTTGTTAAGTGGATGTAACTGAGTGACAGAGTCTAAGGGCTAAAGTAGTTCAAGAAGTAGATCACCTGTGGGTACCAGTGGGTGTGAAAGTGCCTCTCTGACCTCTCTTTTTTGCGCAGAGGAATGTGTAAGGCTAAAGGAAAAGGAAGAACCTCACAGAAGTCAATGGAGCGAGAATGACCTAAAACCAGAGCGACGGAACGCAGAGTCGGGCCTATTGCATTTAGACTTAGTTGACTATTATCGTATATTCATGCACGAGTAATGGATGCCCTTACCTGCCGATTCAGCCGGATGGACAGGATGTTGCTGGAATAGCTATAGTTGCAGATCTCCGTCCCTTTTTTGAAGTGATAGACGTTCATTTGCCGAGGCTTGGTGTGACTCACCACGACCACCAGGCTGCTGGAGAAGAGGCGCTCCACGATGTAAACATCCGGGATTTCATCTGCTCAGCCAAAAGAAAGTGAGGCGGCTGCTTTCATCTTGGGTCTGGCTCTTTAAGAGTCAAATCCCCCT